TAGCGAGGGAACTCCAGAAACTAAACTGCGGGAGAAGGTCTGGAGTTCCCTCTAGATATAGGGATCTCTTATTACAGAGATTAAAGAAGTAGGCAGTGGTTAAGCTACTTCTTTAGAAGACATCATTTCAATATCTCCACCTTATGTCAATCTTTTTAGGAGAATAATCTAACCCCTTAATAAACTTGAGACGAGTTCCCGTTTCTCTAAAGGAGCGTTGTTTAAAAGGAGAAAAATCCCTCTTTCCAAGAGAACAGAAAAATGGTGGCGATTTGGTGGCTGATTAATTTTTAAGCTTTGACACTATCTTCTAAAAAGCTTTATAGAAAATGGATAAAAGAGATTCTATGGTGGCGGAGGGAGAGGGATTCGAACCCTCGATACAGCGTAAACCGTATACTTCCTTAGCAGGGAAGCGCCTTCAACCACTCGGCCACCCCTCCATATTTTGTTTAGGGCCACATTTAATCATGCAAACCTTCTCTTAAGTATCGAGACTCGTGCCTTATGTCAACGGATCAACGGTTAGAGACTTAAGAAAATTCTCTCTTTAGGGAAGAATTTAGACAAGGTGTGGTAGGATTCTTTGGGAGATTCCATGTCTGTGATTACGATGGCATCAACTTTTCCAAGGTTCTTTAACGTATGATAAACGGGAAGTCCCAAAAGGTGATCGATAAGGGGGGCTTTGTTGTCTAAAAACCCCAACACATCAACATTTTGTTCTTCGGCCGTAAGCCAGGCAATTTCGCACAATTCCCCAAGGCCGGCGATGGCGATGCGTTTGTATCCTTTATGATGGCATTGAAGCATGATATTGACGAAGTGTTGGCGCCAATGGCGATAACTTTTAAGGGTTTCTCCGATGGATTGGACTTGGAGGTGCTCTTTTTGTACGTGCCCATCGGGAGTCAGGCTATAGCGAAATTTACGAATGCCGATGGTTTCAACGCAAACCCACCCCGCATCTGTGCAACGTTTAAAAGATTTATTGATGAGTCCTAGGGCGACATTTAAACGGTTAGAAGCTTCCCGTTGTGTCAGCAAAGGGTTTTGCTCAATAAGGCTTAAAAGCTGGGAATCAAGAGTATTGCGGACAGGTGTTACAGGCATAAGAAAGTGTCAATATTTCTATTTAATAAGGGACAGTGTTGAATAGTTATGGTTGTCTTTCAACACTTTTTTGCCTGAATTCTTTGCGTGTTTTCAATATTTAAGGTAACCTATAAAATTAGGGATCTATAGGAACAATGAGGGCTTTATGCATAAGGACGTGTTGCTCCACTACTATCAACGGGAGCTAAACTACTTGCGTAATGCAGGAGGACGCTTTGCGTTGCAGTATCCAAAAATTGCAAAACGTTTAGAGTTAGGACCGACACAATCGGCAGATCCTCATGTGGAACGTTTGATAGAAAGTTTTGCTTTTCTGTCGGCACGCTTGCAAAAAGACATTGATGATAACTTTTCCAGGGTCAC